TATTGTGGCTATTTTATGTAAATTATTGTGGCTATGTAAATTATTGTGGCCATCGTGTTTCGGTTTCCCAAGGAATTGTTCATGCGTGCTGTAAGGCATAGCTGGACAGACTGCATTGGGTATTTAAGTGCAGTAATCTTAGTTATGGGCAAGAAAAGTTTACTTCAGGACATGCTCCTGAGCCCTGCTAGTTTCTTGTGTAAATTATGCATGATAGAATGCGACGTGAGGTGAATGTACACCAAAGATAAGAAAAAGGACACAGCTCATTAATTTTACTCCTACAATCTGCGTGTGTTTTAGATTTGCACACCAAGATGAAACAAGCTGTAAATTGCCATGAACAAATAGACAAGAGTGAAAAAAAATTAAGTTGAAAATAGAAAAACTGTAGGATACTTGTGGAACACTGTTTAGGTTGTTACATGGTCTTCTACGTTATTCCATAGTTGGGGGAAAAAAGTGATTCTTATCGTATAATTTTTGACACAATAAAGGTTCCAATTGCAACATTAAATCAATGAAAAGTGCAAGTGCCTTTAAATTTAATATTCACTCACCATTTCATCTTTTTTCTTATCCACTGAGTTTTTAAGTGCCATTAGCACATTGGACATGGTTTCCCCTGGTATTCCATGGTCAGTAGTCCTTTACTTTGGTGATACTTTCCAATTGATAAATAATTATTAGTTAAATCAGTTTTGCACTTCTCAAACGCATCAGCTTTTATATTATATGATCAAATACTCTTGACAGTGAATGTTTTTGGTCAGACTATGGTTGACTGTGAACCATCCCTTACCAAAACCACATATATTTTACATATACCTGCTACATATGTATGTGACATATATGTTACATGTATGTGACATATATGTCACATACATGTAACATATATGTCACATATGTGTCACATATATGTCACACATGTGTCAAATGTAGGAATTTGGAACCTATGTGCAGTTATGTAACATATAAAATTATGTGGACATATAGATTTTACACAAATAAATAAAAAATATATGCAACATATATGTGACATGCATTTGACATATATGTGACAAAAAGTATTAATGGCAGCTAGCTATTAATTGTGAGATATGTTGTGGTTGCTCCCGAACAGAGCGACCTAATTTTTTTCTAGTTTTAAGTTGCTAAATTTGTACTTCTAACAGTTCTCAATGGAAACAACTAAAATGATTATAGTAGAAGAATGACAGAATGATTAAAAATTTATTTCAATTGAAGTTAATTAAAGAGACTGTGATTACAATCATGTATTTCAAGAAAGATTTAAATACAGTAGAAATTTAAAATTGGTTTGCATTCAATATATAGTTACAAGTAATAAAGTTCATCTTATTGTCTCGCTGTTTTGAGAATGCCTCTCCTGCTTCCGGTATATTTGGTTTTTCTCCTGCTTCTGGCTATGTTGTTTGTTTTTGTTGATTCTGCAAGTTGAAATTGAGAGATTTCTTCTCAATTTTGACTGAACACTCTTAGGAGTGAAGGGCTTGATTACAGTTAAATAATTGATTTTTTATAAAATTAAATTCTTGTTGTAACTGTAATAATTAATTGCAATTAAGTTATCCCAAACTACAGACTAAGCAGCTGCTTGTCTTTTTTTGCTGGCTCGCAGCTAATGCCAAACGCGACTAAAATAACCCTGAAACCTTTAGCCTAATGATAGATTTATTTCATTGTAAAGCATAAGCTTAAGAAACTGTGGCATGCAAGTGACCAATTTGTTCCAAATATCGCAATTTGTACTCACCACAA